TTTGCAACATCCAACCACTCTTTTTCTGTTGTAGGTGTCTATAGAATAACACATACACATACAATAGATGTACATATTTATGTTAAAAACTATTACACATGTCGCTGGCTTAAATTGATAAGTTCCTAAGTGCAGTTTTTCAAATTTTACAGGAGAGAATAAACACGTTTCAAACACATTTTCTTCAAGCACTTAATTTGCAAAAACTTCANTGTATATGTATGTATGTTTTAAGAAAAACTGGACTTAGCAACTTTTGACTCTAAGCTAGCGATATGTAGAATGGAAAAATTACAATAAGCACCTTTAAATATTCCTCCTGAAGTGCTTCAGTCAATGCTTCCAAAACTTCTGGCAAAAATTTGCTTATTGTTCTTCGTGATATGTGTGATAGAAATTCCAAAGAACGAAACGAATCGCCAGTCGCTAAGTAGCGCAAAGTTATAGCTAGGCGAACTCTTGTTGTAAAGGCACATCTCATCCTTGTATCACTTTTTTAATTTTAGTATCCACCTATATATGCATGTAAATATATAAATACATATGTATGTATGTTACAGTCACGTGTACGATAACCGGGTGGCCAAGTTTTATTCATGTATTCATATGGATGTTCGGATGAGGAATCCAGGAGAAATTATGAACAAATTCCACCTTGACTATTTACATATTTAAACAATTGGACTACTTTTGCGCAAGCTGCTTTTGTGGTTGGCTTTCTTTTACGGCCGATTTTGTTTTACTTAATACGCCGGAATGGGTAGGCCGACATTGTTTATCACATGCATACGTTGCTAAAAGATCGCACTTTTGTTTAAAAGTACTTTTATTATATAATATTTACTAGTTTTATGAAAAAATTTTGTAATACTATCAATTGCGGGTTGCAAAGCTACATGGCCGCTTTTGTTTCGTTCATTACGTCGTAATGGGTTGGGCGAAATTATTATTTATAACATGTACACGTTGGCAAAGGATCACACTTGACAAAAGAGGGTCATCCGCCCTTCTTGTAAGGGCTCCCTACGGGCCTCTGCCCACCACGTATACAACGGTCGGTCGTAAAAGAAAAGCTTCCCCGGATTTGGTCGGGCTTCAAAAAACTAACACTGGCCGGCCAACATCGGCTACGCTATCTACAGCATTTTTACAGATGGATTTTTTAAAGTAATTTTTCCCGGTTTCCTCACGTGGAAATACATCGAAATACATGATCAGAATTCGTCGCCCGGTTATCGTAGTCTTTCCATGTTACAAGCCCTTCAAATAAAAAATATTTCATGTACATATATGTGTATTTACCAGTGAATGAACCTCATTGAATTGGTCAATGGACATCCTGCAAAAGTTGTTGAAGTCGGTACCATCTTCCCATAAAATGTTTTTTAAAAGGTTTGCTTCCAAGTCGTGAAGTTCCCTCTGCATTAAAAATGGGTTCACCCAAAACCGCGGCTTTTTTCTTTTTTCCTCCTCTTTATAAAGTTGTTTTAGCATTTCCAAATGCTTAAGAGCTTCAATACATCGAACATGCTTTGTTGGCGCCATTTTAAAAATGATATGTTAAGATATCAAAGTGCCCACACACAAAATCTTGCAATCATATTGCTGGCAATAATCTGTCAAAATGACAGATGGTAGGCCATCGCTGTTTGCCTGTGGAGTTCCGCGGTCACATGCGCGAGCTGTTTTGCTGAGTACACACATACAGATACAAAAATATTGCGCTTGTATTGGGAGCTCTGCCAACGCTGTGCACCAGTGATGTAGGTATATTAATAACGACCGCTTAAAATCGATCTCTNGTAGGTATATTAATAACGACCGCTTAAAATCGATCTCTAATTTGAACTTTCTCTGTAGAAATTTTAGGTCTATGTTATGTAGTTTGACTATTGTCAATTAAATCTAATGCTTTGTATTGCATGCGCTCCACGTTTTTTGTTTTAAATCTCATAAATTCTTTATAATGACTTTTGCTAAAATTTCAAAATCAAAAGTTATCAAACAAAATTCTATGGGACTGAGATATATTACTTTCTAATTTTTAGTCCATTTATAAAAGCGTGGTATATTAAAAAGTTTTTATTTTATTTTTTATACTTAGGGCCAGTNCTAAAATTTCAAAATCAAAAGTTATCAAACAAAATTCTATGGGACTGAGATATATTACTTTCTAATTTTTAGTCCATTTATAAAAGCGTGGTATATTAAAAAGTTTTTATTTTATTTTTTATACTTAGGGCCAGTTTTTCAGTGCACGGCCGTGGTTTAAACCAAGTTTAAACGCCCGATCTGGTTTAAACTAAAATCAACCAATCAAATGTCAGCCAGCTGTTCAATTTAAACTCAATTTACTTAATCTAAGTTAGTTAATTGGTTAGTTTTCCATTTATTTTCCTTATAGTTTTACAAATTGCTTCACAAATGTATTTATGTAAATAACTAGACAATATTTCAAAAGTATGGAACACGACTATAACTCTTGCCGTAAGTCGGAACTGTGTAATTTTTCATACGACCTTTTAATTATAATTGAATCCTGAAAAACGCACTTCCTGTATTCTATTGCACCTCTTATATAATTTACAAGTTTTCTTAAGTCTATGTTACAATTCAGTATATTTACTACCTCTGTTTCTTCTAATATACTCTTGCCTAGATAATATTTTCTAAACTCTCGAAAAACTGGGCTCGTTCCTAGAAAATGCTGAACATTTTCCAAAAAGTTTTGGTCACACAGTTAGCATGTTTTAATTGTGTTTAAGAAACCATTACCATTTAATTCGATTAAATTACTACGGGCCTTAAAAATCCACATAATCTGGTCTTGACTACAACCATCTGCTATATAAAGCTGTCCTGCACTATAGTTTAAATTTTTATAAACTCTGTCCGTTTGCCTGGCTTTCGCATGCCACCCCTCCAAATATTTTTGCTTCAACTTACCTAACAGACTCACACAGTTTTCTTCCCAGCTACGTTTACTCAAATTACTACTGGTCCAACTCAGTTACAGTTCCTTGCCAATTTGATTTAGTTCCTTTGCCCATAAAAGCTTTTTGCGAAGTAAAAGATTAGATAGCTTCCAAGGTAATCGGTCGTTACTGTACTCAAACATAGTTTTATACGGTAGACAAACGGGCTCGATTATTTGCATAACCAG